CAATTAGCTTTGGAAAACTCCACAATGTTGAATATAAAAACGGTTGAAGTGGACACTGATGGCCGCTTGCCAATAATTGAAAACTTCGTAGAGGCCGTGGAAGATTTTCCTCTAGTCACTGGTGATTACGTATTTCTATCAAATCAAGTACTAGAAGATATTCCGAAAGTGGTGCATGTTGAAGATGCAAAGTTACTTACACAAAAAAATTGTCATTTCATAATAATAAGCGGTCTGTGCGGTGACTTGAACGAATTGGCTCTCACCCAGGCCCCTAAGTCATTAGTGGAAAAAGGTTATTTGGTTGTGCGTATTAATAATTCGTCTGGTAAGATTGACTTGAAAATTCCTAATGATTTTAAAATGATTGCCGAATTGCCGGTTGAGAATACTGCCGAATTTATCTTGTTGCTGCAATATGTGGGTACGAAGGCACCCTCACTGGAACCGATTGCAGTTGAAATTAGTGACTGTGATAAGGAATTCACGTGGATTACTCAAGTCCAACAATCTATAAATAATAAGACTCCAACAATTGTCTACGCACACAATGAAAAACTAAACGGTTTAATTGGTTTAGTGAATTGTCTACGTAGGGAACCGGACGGCCACTTGATTACATGCTTTCTTATAAATGATAAGAGTGCGCCAGCATTCAACATTAATGAATCTTTCTATGCCACGCAATATGCCCTTGGACTAGCCGTTAATGTTTATCAAAACGTAATTAACACATATTGACGAAAAGAATTTTTAAGAGCTTCAAAGACTATTTAACCATTTTTAATTATTTAGGGCAAATGGGGTTCCTATCGACACCTTCTGCTCCGTTTAGAGGAAAAAATTGCGCCAAGAAAGGATCATGTTTATGGTAATGTTTTGCAAAGAGGCGATCTTTCATCATTGCGTTGGATCGAGGGTCCATTTAACCCTAAGACTTGCGATATAAAAATCGCTTATTCATCTTTAAATTTTCGTGACATAATGCTTGCTACTGGGCGCCTAGCCGTAGAACTGTTTGGCGACAGTCGTTTAGATCAAAATTGCGTCTTGGGCTTGGAGTATTCCGGTATACATACCAAGACCGGTCGTCGAGTAATGAGTATGGTGGCAAAGGGAGGAGTGGGATCGTATGTCGAAAACGCATCCGGACTTATTTGGGACGTACCAAACAATTGGTCTTTAAAGGATGCTGCCACTGTTCCCGTAGTTTATATAACCGTATACTATGCGTTTTTCATAGTTTCTGATATACGTAAGGGAAAAAGTATTTTAATCCACGCTGGCACAGGGGGTATAGGTCTTGCAGCAATACGCGTTGCGTTAGCTTATAATCTGGAGGTTTTTACTACCTGCAGCACTTCTCAAAAGAAGCAGTTTCTGCTGGACACTTTTCCGCAACTTAAAGGTATGAAGGGGATATTTTGCGTTTTAAGCACAAATAAGCGTTTATTCGTTTTATCGAAACAGAGAGTCACATCGGGAATTCGCGAGATACTTCATTTGAACGTATGATTATACGAGAAACTGAAGGCAAAGGCGTCGATTTTGTTTTGAATTCGCTCTCAGAAGATAAATTACTGGCTTCCGTACGCTGCTTGGGATTCAGAGGAAATTTCCTTGAGATTGGAAAATTTGACATGGCAAACGACACCAAACTTGGGATGAGTTGTTTCCTTAAAGAAATCAAGTTTAATGCAGTTTTAGCCGATAGATTGTTAA